TCCTGAGTAGCTGGGATTACAGGCACGCGCCACCATGCCCAGCTAATTTTTTTTGTATTTTTAGTAGAGACGGGGTTTCACCATTTTGACCAGGATGGTCTCGATCTCTTGACCTCGTGATCCACCCGCCTCGGCCTCCCAAAGTGCTGGGATTACAGGCGTGAGCCACCGCGCCCGGCCTCCACTCTTATTTTCTTTCTTTCTTTTTTTTTTTTGAGACTCGTTTTCCTCTGTTGCCAGGCTAGAATGCAGGGGTACAATCTCAGTTTACTGCAACCTCCCCCTTCTGGGTTCAAGAGATTCCCCTGCCTCAGGCTTCCGAGTAGCCGGGATTACAGGCACGAGCCACCACGACTGGTTAATTTTTTGTATTTTATAGAGACGGGGTTTCACTATGTTGACCAGGATGATCTCGATCTCCTGACCTTGTGATCTGCACACCTTGGCCTCCCAAAGTGCTGGGATTACAGGCGTGAGCCACCATGCCTGGCCTCCATTCTTACTTTCAAACATGATTATAACATATATGGTGAAGATAAGCATTTCTATAAAAATTCAAGCCTGTATCACATATAGAAACAGTACTTAAGAGTGTGGGTTTACATGTAACACAAACCTAAGTTTAAATCCTGGCTTTCTTTCATACCTAAGTGACCCTAGATACAACACTTAAGTTTTTTCTGTAGTTCCCCAATTTGTAAAATGAAGAACAATTCACATGGACTTCAGAGTGTTAATACACATGCCCAATACAGATTAAGTGCTCATAATTTTTATATTATGAAAATAGCTAATATTAATCATTGCTCAAGACCTAGTAATCTTGTTTTTTAAATCTTTTTTTTTTTTTTTCTCCCAAGACAGAGTCTTGCTCTGTCACCCAGGCTGGAGTGCAGTGGCATGATCTTGGCTCACTGCAAACTCTGCCTTCCAGGTTCAAGTGATTCTCCTGCCTCAGCCCCCTGAGTAGCTAGAATTACAGGCACCTGCCACTGCACCCAGCTAATTTTTATACCCTTAGCAGAGACGGAGTTTCACCAGGTTGACCAGGCTGGTCTCAAACTCCTGACCTTGTGATCCGCCTGCCTCGGCCTCCCAAAGTGCTGGGATTATAGGCATGAGCCACCGTGCCTGGCCAAAAAAATCGTTTCTTTTAAAATCTACCCCAAATTTGGAACATTACTCAAGCAGTTTAATGTTTAATACACATTTCTAAGAAAACATTATTACTATTGTTGTTGCTTATATTTAACATACTTTGTTGAATTCTTAAGGAGCAATTTATACGTGTATATCACCAATAAATAAATTTTTATTTATTTATTTATTTTGAGATGGAATCTCACTCTGTGGCCCATGCTGGAGTGCAGTTGTGGAATCTTGGCTCACTGCAACCTCCACCTCTCGGGTTCAAGGGATTCTCTTGCGTCACCCTCTCAAGTAGCTGGGACTATAGGCATTCACCACCACACCTGGCTAATTTTTGTATTTTTACAGGGTTTCACCATCTTGTCCAGGATGGTCTCCAACTCCTGACTTCAGGTGATCCGCCTGCCTCAGCCTTGAAAAGTGCTGGGATTATAGGTGTGACCAACAGCGCCTGGCCAAATTTATTTTTTAATTAAAAAAAAAAAAAACCTCATTTTTATTTTTGTAGAAACAGGGTCTTGCTATGTTACCTAGGTTGGTCTCAAAGTCCTGAGCTCAAATGATCTGCCCACCTTGGCTTCCCAGAGTGCTGCAATTATAGGAGTGAGCCACTGCACATGGCCCAACAAATTTTTATTCATTTTTTAATTTATTTTATTTTTATTTTTATTTATTTTTGAGACAGGGTCTCACTATGTCGTCAGGCTAGAGTGCAGTGGCGTAATCTTGGCTCACCGCAACCTCCACCTCCTGGGTTCAAGCAATTCTCCTGCCTCAGTCTCCAGAGTAGCTGGGGCTATAGGCAGGCGCCACCAGGCCCAGAGAGTTTTTGTATTTTTAGTAGAGATGGGGTTTTACCATGTTAGCCAGGCTGGTCTCAAACTCCTGACCCCATGTGATCTGCCCGCCTTGGCCTCCCCAAGTGCTGGGATTACAGGCATGAGCCACAGTCCCTGGCCCCAACAAATTTTTAGAGGCTTAAATGTTTTCAACTTACCATCTAACAGAGATTGAAAATTCACATCAATAATCTTCCTTACATAACGGTTGTCCAGGAAAGGGAGACCAACTAGAAAGAACCAGAATAATGCTACATGATTTATTTATTTTTTTTTAACTATCTGATTTGAAGCCACATAAAACACAGTACTTTAGAATCCTATTCCTTCTGTGTAGCATAGTTCTTTTCACAGGAAGTTGAAGGTTTATCCTTGAATCATTATTCTCTGTATATTGTAAAGGCTCCTCTGAGACTGTTCAACTACATTGATTAGCAGGTTTTTCAAGGAAATTTAATATGTAGTACACAGCTATATTTGTTAAGGCCTCCTCTCTTAACCCCTAACGTCTGTGCAAAGATAAATTTATTTTTTAGGAATTGTATATTTTTTAAAAAAAGGCTATAACCTCCCTATACCTATACTCCTTGTATAAATACAGTAAAAATGAGTTATGCTTTTAGCATTGCTATAACATGTTTTAGGTAGCTGAGATAGCTGCTCACGCCTCCAGATGAGGGTTATCTCTGTCTCTTAACTTGATTCTTATTCTGTTTGTTGAATGCTTTGTTAAATATTTTCTATGTGTTAGGCACCATGGACACGATGAGAAAAACAGATATACTCAACCTGTGCCCTCAAGAAGCTTATAATTCAGGGAGACATACAGATAATTGCACTAATAAACACGGCAAGAACTATATAATAAGCACTACTAAGGAAAACCACAGGAAGCAAGGAGAACATATAATAGAAGGGTGGGAAAGTGATCAGTGAGGCTGGGTGAAGTGGCTCACGCCTGAAATCCCAGCACTTTGGGAAGTTGAGGTGGGCGGATCATGAGGTCAAGAGATGGAGACCATCCTGGCCAACATGGTGAAACCCCATCTCTACTAAAAATATAAAAATTAGCTAAGTGTAGTGGTGTGTGCCTGTAGTCCTAGCTACTTGGGAGGCTGAGGCAGGAGAATCACTTGAACTCAGGAGGCGGAGGTTGCAGTGAGCTGAAATTGTGCCACAGCATTCCAGCCTGGTGATAGAGCGAGACTCCGTCTCAAAAAA